CGGCTTTGTTCCCCTTCCTCTGGGGGGGGGGGTGGATTTCACTGAAGGGATGTTGAGGCTCGGTATCAAAGCTCAAAGTTTGATTATATTTATTTATTAAATAATGTTACCCTTTATACTGTATATGTTCTTTTGGATTTTTTTGTATTCCAAGAGAGACTTGGCACCATGTCACTACGGGGCCTTATTAGTACCTTTAATTAGATTATCTAACACTAAGAGAACGATTAAATGCAAGACCATTTTCAGACCTGGAGTACTTTACAGTGTTTCAGATTATCAGGGTATGTGTGTTCGTGGTGTACTAAATATTCTGATTTATTTTAGTGTTTCAGGTCTGCATAATGTCACAAAGTCTTGGAAAGAATACTGATGTTGCAGATATCATCACTTGTTCTTTATTTGTTTATCCTTTGTTAATCTCTGTCTCCACATCACAGCAACAGCGATGCTACCAGAATTACAAAAGCCATTTAACAGCATTTTTAAGCTCTATGTATTGTTAATGTTGGCTTTTTAAAGGAGAAATAACAGAATGTGTTACTTGCGTCTTTTGCTCTTCTCCCACTTTTTCTGCCTATAGGGAGAAATTCATCCTGGAGCAGGAGCTCAGGATAAAGGAGGACACCATCAGGCAACAAAACAGTGAAGTCCAGGTAAGGCTAAGCCTGAATAAGTTCCAAATCATCCATTTATGGTGAGAAATATCAGTGAATTTATATTTCATGAGTGGCTCATTGGTAGCAGTCCATCACAGTGCCTGGAAACGATACAGAATTCATGGTACAAATAGGCGCTGGGTATTTATACAGTATAGGTCTGATTCCTTCCCAAATTACAGGTGAACTGGAAGAGTTAACAAAGATGATACTCAGAAGCAAAGTACCTTGCAAATACCTGTGTGTGTGTGTGTGTGTGTGTTTTCCGGACCCTCCTCACCTGCAGAATGACTTGGACAGGGAGAGCAGCAGCCTGCAAGACCTAGAGTCCCAGAAGCAGGATTCCCAGGAGCGTCTGGAGGAGATGGACCAGCAACGCTCCAAACTCGAGGGAATGCTCAACGACATCAAGCAGAAGTGCCAGGAAGAGTCCCAGACGGTTTGAGAAATGTCTTAGTAAAATAACATAAGAAGAATGTTATTGTATTTTCTTGTGTGCTGATGGCATATAGTACTCATGCAGTTATCATCCTATTGTGGTGAAATCTTTGTACTTAGCAGGCAACGCTTTGGTATTTTTGAAGTGAGATCTTGCATGTCAATCAAACATTGAGGTCATGTGACTTTAAGGTTTGTTCAAAGGAAGTTGCTGCAGATTATTATTTTTAAACAGTTGGCGTAGGTGCTATCAGACCAGAGGAACCTTTTCATAGTTTTTAGAGCAAGCTTGTCGGCTAATCGGTAACAGTCAGCTGGCTCTTGCCCTCACCTCGGCGTTCCTACTGGTGGTGTGATTGCAAACAGAAAAAAGCCCGTGAAGGTCTATGGTGGGTAGTCCCTAGAACTGTTTGGCCCAAAAGCGTCTTGAATGTTTTAAAATACTGCAACTATTTATGTATTTACTTTGGAAAGATGACTTGCATATTTGGAGGTGAAGCATTGCATCAGTGATTCATTTGTGGCCAAGTGAATAAAAAGTGTGTGATTTAAGAGTAAAATGAAGATCAGCATCTGACTGTCTTGCCAGCCTTGCTTTTTTTTGCATCTTCCCTAGAAATAATTTTGATGCAGCACTGATCTGTCCTAACAAGCAAAACTAAATCTGATTTGAAGCTGGAATTCCTCAATACTTGGCAATTAAATTGTTACAAGGCTTGATGAGCCAACACCTATAGACCTTCTTTCTTTATTTTTTTGGATCTTCCAGATCTCTTCTCTGCAGAGCCAGATCAGCTCTCAGGAAACCAACCTCCGGAGCCAGGAGGACGAACTGAGCCGAACCAAGGCGAACCTGAGCCGGCTGCAGGAGGAGGAGGCCCAGCTGGAGCAGAGCCTGCTCTCTGGTCGCGTCCAGCTGGACAGCATCATAAAGTCCCTCAAAACCACCCAGGAAGAGATCAGCCAGGTCAGTGCAGGCAGAGAGACAACAGGTTACATAAGGATGTTCTGTCACTTTGCCCTTAAGCTTTGCGATCAACATAGTATGGTGTTAATAAAAGGTAATGTAGAAAGATTTATTAGTTTATACAAACTAATGATCTGGATATCCAGTCATACTGTATGTTCATGCACTAAGCTTTTTTGTTTGTTTTAAACAACAGACTAATTTTTGGAAACATTAGTTTCACTTTAGTTATAGACTTGGTATAGTGCTAAATGTTCGGTGATTAATCTAAACAGCTGAATGAAGACCTGTGAGATACAGGCAAAAGCTCGGATGCTAGCTCAGTGGACTTTGTGTTTACTCCGCAAGCCAAGAATGAACGCCCACAGTCAGGTATTGTGCTGGAGTTTTTAGCATGCTTTGATGCACAAATTTGAAGCATGCGGAATTGAAACTCTAATATCATAGTGGTTAAGATTATACAGCTTGTGAGGACATTGTGTTCAGATTCTATTTTCAATTTAATCAAACATTAATTGTAATCGCTTACCCATTTCTGCAAGGTTCGAAATTCTCCAGTGTTCAACAGTTCTGAGACCTATTAAAATATACATTGAAGGAAATCATTTACTTTATGGAATCGGATATGAATTAAAAATTCCTTTGTATTTTAGGCTCGCAGTAAACTGTTGCATATCCAGGACAGCCAAAAAGAGGTGACCAAGACCATTGAGCAGTACAACAGCGCTTTGAGTGACATAAACAGAGGAAACTTGAGCAACCTGCCAGTGTTAAGTGAAGGGCTCGCTGAGAAGGAGAGCGGAGGTTTCAGAAGTGCGGTGAGATGCTGAATATTTCCTCTTTTCTAATCCTGAACGTTTGCCTTGGCCTCTTGAGCTTTACTGCGTTTCCACCTGAAAAACCTTATTCAAATTTTTGATTTACCCCCTAAAAAGACAAAAGGTGAAACTAACAGTAGCCCTTTTTATATCACCTATTTTCTAATTTACATGTTCGTTACTATTCATATGCCACAGGAATGTAAAAACAAATTTAGCTATTTTTGTTCCCTGGTATTGTCGCTTCTAAAGTTTTATTTGCTCTTCTATTTTGAAGATGTTCTGGTGGGAAACAGTTACAGTGGTGTGAAAAAGTGTTTGCCCCCTTACTGATTTCTTATCTTTTTGCATGTTTGTCACACTGTAATGTTTCAGATCGTCAAACAAATATATATATTAATCAAAGATAACACAAGTAAACACATCATGCAGTTTTTAAATGAAGGTTTTTATTATTAAGGGAAAACAAAATCCAAAACTATATAGCCCTGTGTGAACAAGTGTTTGCCCCCCTGTCAAAACACTGGTTTATCGCACCTGAGTTCAATTTCTCTAGCCACACCCAGGCCTGATTACTGCCACACCTGTTCGCAATCAAGAAATCACTTAAATAGGACCTGCCTGACAAAGTGAAGTAGACCAAAAGATCCTCAAAAGCTAGACATCATGCCAAGAGCCAAAGAAATTCAAAAACAAATGAGAAAGAGAATAATGAAGCTCTATCAGTCCGGAAAAGGTTATAAAGCCATTTCTAAAGCTTTGGGACTGCAGCGAACCACAGTGAGAGCCATTATCCACAAATGGCGAAAACATGGAACAGTGGAGAACCTTCCCAGGAGTGGCCGGCCGACCAAAATTACCCCAAGAGCACAGCGACAACTCATCCAAGAGGTCACAAAAGACCCCACAACAACATCCAAAGAACTGCAGGCCTCACTTGCCTCAGTTAAGGTGAGTGTTCATGACTCCACCATAAGAAAGAGACTGGGCAAAAATGGTTTGCATGGCAGAGTTCCAAGACGAAAACCACTGCTGAGCAAAAAGAACATAAAGGCTCATCTCAGTTTTGCCAGAAAACATCTTGATGATCCCCAAGACTTTTGGGATAATACTCTGTGGACAGACGAGACAAAAGTTGAACTTTTTGGAAGGTGTGTGTCCCATTATGTGTGGCGTAAAAGTAACACCGCATTTCAGAAAAAGAACATCATACCAACAGTAAAATATGGTGGTGGTAGTGTGATGGTCTGGGGCTGTTTTGCTGCTTCAGGCCCTGGAAGACTTGCTGTGATAAATGGAACCATGAATTCTGCTGTCTGCAGTCCCCAAGCTTTAGAAATGGCTTTATAACCTTTTCCGGACTGATAGAGCTCCATTATTCTCTTTCTCATTTGTTTTTGAATTTCTTTGGATCTCGGCATGATGTCTAGCTTTTGAGGATCTTTTGGTCTACTTCACTTTGTCAGGCAGGTCCTATTTAAGTGATTTCTTGATTGCGAACAGGTGTGGCAAGAGAAATTGAACTCAGGTGCGATAAACCAGTGTTTTGACAGGGGGGCAAACACTTGTTCACACAGGGCTCTATAGTTTTGGATTTTGTTTTCCCTTAATAATAAAAACCTTCATTTAAAAACTGCATGATGTGTTTACTTGTGTTATCTTTGACTAATATATAAATTTGTTTGACGATCTGAAACATTACAGTGTGACAAACATGCAAAAAGATAAGAAATCAGTAAGGGGGCAAACACTTTTTCACACCACTGTACATATTATACATGCTATGCTTGGTCTCTCCCCTTTTTTTGTCTGTTTAAATAGTGCACAGGCTCTTATAATGTCTTGCATTTTGCAATAGCATAGACACTAAAAATTGACACTTTGTTGCCTGGTGAAAGACTTGACTAATCCTTGATACATGTATTAATTTGTGGATTTGTATGTATTCATTCATTAGAATGATGCTTTCAAGTCAAAGATCGCCATGTTTAACAGCAGTAGTGCTAAGGAGCTTCCAGCAGACCCCTTCCAGACAGAAGACCCCTTCAAGTCCGACCCCTTCAAAGGTCTGAAAACCGCGTTGCTTTCTCATTGTTTATGCCTGCATCTTTGAAAGAGCTGAGACTGTTCCTGCTCTGCTGTGTGCTAATCACTTGGACTAATTTAGTGTCCCTTTGAATCAGTATTTTCACTTAACACATAAATAACATTATAGATGCCAAATTGTGCCATTTTAATGAAATAGAAATGTTTGTTCATTCTGTGAAACAGTAAACAAGACCTTTTAATGAGACTAGTTTCTTGTCAGAGGCTGAAGATGGCAATCTTGTCCTTTTTCTAGATCCATTTGGAGAAGACCCTTTCAAAGAAAGTGATCCTTTCAAAGGCACGTCATCGGAAGACTTTTTTAAGAGGACAGACAAGTCTGACCCATTTGGATCATCAGACCCTTTTGGTAGAAAACCCACTCCGCCAGTGAAGGTATCAAACACCTCTCCTTTTTAGCGATAATCTGGTGCTTGTTTTGAGGACTGATTATGGTTCTTAGTATGCTTTATGATGTGCAAACACCAATACGCTTTTGTCAGACAGAAACAAGCTCTGATGTGTCCTCACCACTGTAGCTAACTAGAAAAGTAAACCAGAGAGAGTTCTCGTGGTCATGCCAACATGGTCGTTGTGTATGGATTTTAAACAAGATCTTGTGAATCGCTTACTTATTGTACTTGTACTTTGCTTCTTTGTGCTTCTCAGCCAGGTGCCCTCAACAGGAGCGACCCATTTGCATCAACCAGCCCAAAACTAAAGGATTCAGGTAATTTGCTGCTCACAAGCATCATGGGATGTAAATACATACTGAGATTTTATTCTCAGTTATAAATGTAAAGATTAATATGAGGTAACATTTTTCTGTGTCAAAGGAGTTAGTTGGTTTGGAATTGTTGCCATTA